TGAGATGAGCAATCACTTATCGTGTTTGTTCCAGTCCAACAGCTCACAACTTCTCACACCTGCTACTTCAGATCTCCGCCGTCCGTGGGACGTCTGCAGTTGTCTGTTATCCAACTACGGACTGCGATCTTCTCCGTATTGCCTCGCTCCTAGTTCCGAACTTTGCTCTGGCGCGTCACACTCTGGCGCCAGAGCGGCTCGGTGGCTGGGCATTCGTCACCGTCCCCGCTCATACGAGCGCTTATTGATCCGCGAAATGGCCGTGGCCCCCGCGGCGCTGCCTCCGGCGCCGGGCCGGCCTCTCTGAGAGCAGGAGTTAATCACTCAGAGGTGACCTTGACCCACTGCCGCCGACGGCGACCGGGCCACAGGGGGATTTTAGTACGCAGCTGGTGCGATTTGTGGTCTGATCCAACTCATCTGTCGCGGGGTGTTTCAAGGAAATCAACGGCAGCTTTGAGTCTATTGTTTCAGTGAAATGACAGGAGAATTCAGCGTTCAGGATGAGCTCAACCGATGGGACTTCTAATGGTGACAAACTTTACCCGGTGCACGCCACCATTGCATTGGTCTGCCCGTATTACACCCAAACTGATTGATGCGGTGATTTTGATTCTCCTAAAGTTTGTCAACAACAGATATTTGGTGGTATCATTCGGTGGTAGTGCTCAATGTTCGTGGCTGGTTAGAGAAACCTGCAAGCAGATTGGCCAGATCTGGCAACTGAGACGAAGTGAGCAGCGTTTTGAAGTAACAGATACATTTCTTGTGGTAAGTCGGGTCCGTTTGGTTAGAGCCTCGACTGAATACGGGTGTCAACAACAGACATTGACGAAGTGTTAGACAGCAGCAAAGAGGCGTCGCTCAAGCTCTCAAGCTGGCGTCGCTTCTTGGCAACAAGCCTGCTCGTAAAGGGAACGACTTCGATGTCTTTTGTCATCTCACGGTCATTCATGTCGCATATGGCGTCACGTCTGGCAGTCTCTAGTCCGTGCTGTAATTGGATTGGACTGCTGAATGTTACGTGATACCATGGTCTCCTTTCATCATGAGTGCTTGTTAGGCTTGTCTAGTATTACATTACTAGGCAGCCCAATACGTGCCATTGAACACTGGCCTTATGTCGTGACTTCGTACTCAATGCAAGATTGATTTTCTCATGCAAGCTGTGAGCGAAATGGGGATACCAGAAGGCAGACACAGCGATTCCACATGTTCCTGGATTCCCATGACAAATAAAACGCGTATTTACTCGTTATTAAACTACAAGAAAATCGTCGCTTTCGATGGAAGTTTGGTTGGAAAGCTGGTTAATTGACCCACTAAGCAACTTACTGAGTAGATACGGTTTATTATGACAAATGTGTATTCCCATTGATGATTATCTTCATTTCATTGTCCGATGACCGGTGACTTCTTTCAAATAGTGACATTTCTTCTAAGTTGTAGAAGACCTGTAACAAGTGAACAGGTCCTTTCTTATGAAAACCCTGTAAATGTTCTTCCAAAAAAACTTAGGTATATACGATTGAAAACTAATACAAGCACTCCGAAATTAGTAGATTTAAAATGGTTTTTATTAGAAAAGGTTAGGGAAAAAACTGAATGAAATTCAAGCAGCATGAATTATTCAGAACATTAGACCATTATTGAGCTGACGCTCTTGTTGGCCTTTTTGAAGTCGCTAGCATATAGGAGTGGAGGCGATCAGAACCCCCTCAACCCCTGATCAAGCTCGAGCTTTGCGGAAAAGCGGCGTATTACTTGTGACAATCTTGAGAAAGCCGGTGGCACCCGATTTTAGGGTCCTAGGTCAGTGGTTGACCTTGCAGCTCAGATCAATTCCCCCAATACCGGAAAATCGGGACCTTCCACAACTTTGCGAAGGTTTCTGGGATACTTCTTCCGGTTAACCGTCTCTCTCACAGGGGTAAGGAGCGGGTATGACACGAGACATGCTGCCGGATCTAGTTATAGAGTATGGAGGCAGCATAGGCTAAGTAAAGAGTGCAACTATGGGACAAATATGCATCTTACTTCAGTCAAGGAAGGTAAACTACAGATGCATTAACTGAATGGAATGTAGGTATCGTTATCTTACCATTGTACTCTGGCCCTGTGGCCAGTATTTCATATTGCGACATATCGCATCATGCATTGAATTACAGCAAATCCCGTCCCGGAGTAATAATATACTAGAAAGATTGCTTCAGCCTGGGGATTGGAAAAGCCATATCGGTATTCTTTTACTGATATATGTTGGAACGTACATACCTTTATACCGGATTGATGTCGATACAGTATTGGGCTTCCGACGCAGAAATAATCATGTTACGGCTTTGTCGATATATTGCAAAGCCCTTCAGGAATAATATCAAAGCTAATAAATGTCAAGAAGTCGTACCATACGGATTGACAAATATGATTCAGTGTTAAAAACTCAAAAAGCATTTTCCATTCAATGAATATCCTGACTAGTGAAAAGACATAAATTGAAGATGGAAGGGACAAATTTGATGAAAACGTATAGTATGTTGATTTAAATTATACCAAAAAACTATATATAACACCACAATAACTACTCTCGTCAATTGTAATACATTGTCGTGTAAGTGGACCATATATTTTCGCTCATTAGCAATGCAAAATGCGCCAGCTAATAGAGTCGGTTCATGATAAGAATGTTATCCAGCCACGATTGCTAAAAGCAACATCATTTGTTTTAAGCGTTCTTCACTTCAACTGGCAAGAAATCTGGACTCAAGGTCTGCCTTCACTCTGAATTTTCCATCGCTACCGCCACACAAGATGTAAAAACAATTGATTGAGAGGCGCCTGAAGCTCATCAATCAACGTCTCGTTCTTTCCGCCCCCTTCTATATCTCTGTTGGACAGTCGATTTCTCGCGAGCTTCGATCAGCTGGCGCGCAGCAGATCAAATGACAGTCGCCGGAGCCGCCGAGTAACATCAGACAAGATCGAGAGCGCTAACGTAAGACGAATGGCTTTGCTGTTCGAGAACACTTGGGCTTGTAGTTTCGTTGCTTCTCGCATCAGTTTATTTTACGAGAGTCGGGATAGATGAAGCGTTGAGAGTGATCGGCGGGACCGTCTATGTATTACATATCATATGGTGAGACGTTGCGTGGTTGATTTTTGCTAATGTTGTCAGCCTGTATGCATTACTGCAACAAGAATGTTTCGGGCATATGCCATCTCAGGACATGTCGGCTTTGAGGTCATGTTGGATGCGATCGAATAGTTTGGCGATGCCGAGCCTGAGATATGCTGTCTGCATTTTGAAGCTCGTTTAGCACGAACAACATGAAACTGGAAATGTTTTTAGAGACGAGCGATTCAACTTATAAATCACAGCGGCTTTTAACACTATCAATGATATGTCGACACCTTTTTTTAAACCCCATATTTGTTCTCCGGTGAATTTCAGACAAGTTGGTTAGAGACCTTCAAAAAAGATACAATCACTCGATTTTTCTCAAGTTTGTCTGTCTTGGCAGATAAAGCAATACCAGAACAGGCCTACGAGCACACATATTTGATCAGGATCGGACGATTGGACACTTTTAAAAGGAGATCTTTCGTGCCTCCCGGAAATTCACGGGAGAGCAGATGTGGGGTTTAAAAAAGGTGTCGATGTAGCTTGTTGAGTCATGCGTGCCAAAAGCGAAAATTAAATTTTTAATTTCAACGGTTTATTCGTTTCGGGTAATTGCCCTCCGAAAAGTTACGTGATGCAGGAGAAAACACCAAGCATTATTGCTGTATTGATAGCTGTATTGATAAATACGTCTACAGCCTGTCAAAAAAAAGAAACTTTGGCAAAGTGTCCTAACGAAGCGTCTCTTCAATTCTATAAGCCATTTTACCTACGTACTTGAGGGTCTGTGTCATTCAAAGTTATTATCTGCCCCAAAGACACATCGGTTGACCAGCTGCAGCATCTCTTCTGCTGGAGGGCTGTATGTATGCTCGTTACTAGCATGAGCGCACTAATACAAAACAGTTGGATGTTAGTTATAAAGATACATATAGATATGTCTCCGGAGCGGTCTCCAGAGATGTCAACGTCCTTCAAAGCCATTCAAGGTCAGGAAAATCCAATCTGAGGCTCCAATCCATGCAATATTTCTATGAAAGATTGATTGCTTCAGCCTGCGACCCGCAGCGCTTCTCGAGAGTCGCTCAAGCAGTTCCATGCCAAGATTCATCGTTTTGAGTTTTCTATGTTATGAACAGAAGCCATTCATGAATTACGGTGAAATCAAGGCATGACATAAGATTTCTACAGCAAGGTACCGTCGTAATCACAGACTGTTTGTACTAAGTGCAATCCTTATTAGGGCTGACACCGGGATTTGACCTAATTAGCCAATGGGCTATCCACTAACCAAGAAGCCTGGAACTCTAGACCGGGCATTTTTGTCTTTTCATAAAGCACGCCGGGCATATCTGAAATATAGCCCGATTGAGAGCCTTACACAATAGGGTTCGCACAAATCTTCCACCTCTATCTCTATCTTCCACCTCTATCACCACCTCGATCTATCTTCCAACTCTATCTTTGTCCTTCATCTAATTGCTCTGTGCTGTTTGGGAACCACAGATCTAAAGAGCTGGAACCTGCGTGGGTGTAAAAGTTATTCTAAACCCATCGAAACATTTCGATCTCCTGCACATTCATCGATAAATTGAGTTATGAAAGCTCCAGTTTTCAAAACATCTAATTATTTAATGGACTGCTTTACCAATCGCTTTTACTCGTATTGCTATTCAGAATCATAGCTGTAGTTTCTGAAGCTTAGAAAAGGCTTCTCTGTTACAAATTCAATTATAACAATATCGTTTGGCCAATCTCTAACTTTGTTTCCTACAAGCTCATAGCTCCCTGAAAGGTACAGCCTGAGCATCGATCGCTGGCTGCTCAGACAAAGTAATGTTCTCAACTAATTTCAACTAAGGAGACTGATGTCTGTACTCACAGGCGTTCTCGTACATCTGGCTGTTGTGGATGCCGAGGCCACAGAACACGCCGAACGTCTCCACCGCTCGGATGTCCTGGTCCGTGAAACAGTAGCCGTTTTCCTGAAAAAAGAACAAATTAAAATGGACTCTGGAACTTAACCACATCAGCGAATTTTCTGAGATACCTATCGTGTGCAGAACGAAAAGGTCTCTCAATCTCCTTCACTCTCTCCCTCTTCCTCTTCTCTCTCTCTCTCTCTCTCTCTCTCTCTCTCTCTCTCTCTCTCTCTCTCTCTCTCTCTCTCTCTCTCTCTCTCTCTCTCTCTCTCTCTCTCTCTCTCTCTCTCTCTCTCTCTCTCTCTCTCTCTCTCTCTCTCTCTCTCTCTCTCTCTCTCTCTCTCTCTCTCTCTCTCTCTCTCTCTCTCTCTCTCTCTCTCCTCTCTCTCTCTCTCTCTCTCTCTCTCTCTCTCTCTCTCTCTCTCTCTCTCTCCTACGATTAGATATACTAGACCGCGTTAATTTCAACAACCCCCATCGATTGAAATTCCTGCCTCATTCTGACCCGCTCCACCTCTAAGTTCGCCCCTTCACCCCGACGCCCCAGGTCCTCTTTCCTTCCCGCACACTCCACCCTGCACCCACCTTGTTGATGAAGTGTGCCACTCCGATGATGGTGTGACTCTGGTTGTGGATCGGGATGGTGAGCACGGAGCGCATCTTGGAGCTCCTGTCGTCGTGGTGCCACCGAATGCCCACCGTCTCGCCGTCCTCATCACCGTCCGAGGTGGCCATGGTCTGCGAGCCAAACGGAGTGTGAATTCGGCGTCACTCAGCCGAATGGCGTCTCGCCGGGGTCGCGGATAAATGGAGAGGGGACGGGAAATGGGCACTGATATCTGACGGGTCAGGGCTGAGGGTGGCAGCTGGTGCCGAGGAGCCTTCAAATCACTGATGGCCAGCTGCTGATATTGGAGGCCTTTGTTTGAATGATGCTGAAGATATGAGATAAGCGGTGACAGTTTGGCCAATATGAATCTACGATGCACAGCAATGTCATGAGTTCAACCATAAGGAAGTTCTGAACCCTAGAATACTTGGAGGGTAGCTTATATTATTTACGGTTTGCAATGAGGTGTCAGATGAATAATATATAAGCCAAAATTATCAAAACAGATTACATGATGTGCCACCCAGAGATACTTCTGTGTAGGTATGAGCAAACCACATCGTCCCTAGTACCTCGTCTGCAATACAATCACTTTACCTCCGCGCCCCCCCCCCCCCCCACCGAACAACCCCACCATACCCCTTACCGACCCACCTCTCCAGTCTCGAGCACACGGAGCGCCACATCATGTAGAGGCAGCTGCCGGAATTCGACTTCAGGCAGCGAGCGAACGTTCTGTTCACCCCCGGAGTCTGTGGTGAGGCTGAAACACTGGACGAATGTGGCCGCCTGCAACCGGCAGACAGCGACAGGTGAGAGAGGTGTGTGGGGAGCGGGAGAGAGAGAATGAGAGGGGAGAGAGAGAGAGAGAGAGAGAGAGAGAGAGAGAGAGAGAGAGGAGAGAGAGAGAGAGAGAGAGAGAGAGAGAGAGAGAGAGAGAGAGAGAGAGAGAGGAGAGAGAGAGAGAGAGAGAGAGAATGGCTACGATGGTAAAATGGTGTTTGCTAATCTGAGAATACGAGCAGAAATGTGGATTAGCAAAAGATATGTTAGCCGGTACACAATTTCTTCATTATTATTTCTTGCGAAGCATGAGGCGTTAAGGGCCAAGGGAACAGCACAATTTATTACCCTCGCGACATCATTAAATGTTCTCAAGCACCTTAACCCTATTCCTGGCGGGGGGGGGCCTCAGGAGCCCCCCCCCCCCCTGAGGTTTTTTGGTTATTTCTCCCAAACGCGTTGAGCTAGGAAGCTCAAATTTTCTGACTTTTCCTAAAAGGCTTCTACGCAACATGTCTGAAAATTTTGAGTTGATCTGACCTCAGGTCAGGTCACCAGAGGCGGTTTGGTGACCCTACCTCAGAAAAGTTTGCAATCACGCTAGAGCTAGAGTTTTTGACCGATCAATTTCTTCTCTTCAGGGTTTAGTTAGGGTACCAGTATGTGCAATTTGTATATCTCGGAATTTTGATATCGGTGACCTAAGGTCAGGTCAATTTCGCGACCTCCCCATTATAAGTCAATGGGGGAAAAATCAACTCCCTGTTTTTACCACTAAAACGGGTCGGAATGGCCCCATATACCATACATGACTTCATATACGATCAACCTTCACTACCTTGAGGTCTGTTTTGCTGTTGGGCAGCTGTGAGGTCATGTGACGTCATCAAAGGTCACCAAAGGTTTTTGGCCAATAACTCCGTACAGGAACAAGATACAGACGCGTGGATGGTCTCATTGTGTTCAGCTCGTCAAGACGCATCGAATGATATACATGATGACCTCGAGGTCACGTGACCTGAGGTCAACCTTTGACCTTGACCTTTCGAGGTCAACATATATATCATTCGATGCGGATTGACGAGAGGATCACGATGATGCCCTTAGTTTGTTCCTATCTTGACTAATTCGAAAGTTATTCGAGAAAAACTCTCTCCATATCTAGCGCCGCCATTTTGACTTTTTCAACCCCTGTGACGTCATCTTTGACCTGACCTGAAAATGACCTTTGTAAAAATTGTAGATTTTGGCCGTGCGTATCCGATGCCGTTTACCGCTTGTCGCTATCTTGCTTCGTTCTCGAGATCTCAGGGGGGGGCCGAATCGGCCCCCCCCCCCGCCAGTTTCTTGTCCCGGCGGAGCCCGCCAGGAATAGGGTTAATGACCATTAAGTTAGCGATTCAAGTGAAATTAACACGCTCCCGGGGGGCCTTAGCTAAGCGTGGCAGCCTGAATACCGGACCGACGGCAGAGTACAGGGTCCCGGGTCGGGCGTCGGGTCGACACCGAACGACATGTCGCGTCGACTGACACAGCATCAAACCGGTGGTAAATAGTGCGCCTGACAGACTTTCGGGACGTCGGAAGAAGACCTCAAAACGGTGCCGGACAGGATGACAGACCAGACCCAGTTGGGTTGCATGATAGTTTATCCGACAGTGGACTGTCTATTGTCTAAGGGGCAATGTCAGACTGGTTGTGAGCAGGTTGCTGGACAGACAAGCTGACAGCTGCCAGGACAAGCTGTCGGACAGGGTACTGGACACGTATTTGGAGAGGGTTCACACTGACTGCCGACGCTCCCACCTGTTCCGTGGTGCCGCTCTCCCGTGAGGTGGTGCGGGTCACGGGCAGAGAGCTGGACAGCTGGTCCGAGGAGCGCACCGGCGGCAGGCCAAACTCCGAGCCCGTCGCCGTCTGACGGCCACAGCACACATAAAACGGTAAGGTAGGAGACAAAAGTCGTTGAATACATAATCCAGTCCAACAACATCTAGTCGAATACATAGCATACAAATCAACGTCGAATGCATAGCAGTCCAACAACGCCGAGAGTTGCATGAATAGTATTTCACTCTGACATTTGCAATGCGTTTGTTCTGTTTAATTATGCCTTGATGATGTTTTCTTCATAAGGTGTTTGTAACTGTACGGCGCTCGTTAGAGTTGATTTACATTTTAATTAGGCTCAGACGGGGCTCACTGGGGACGGAACACAGGGAGGAGAGCAGCTCACCGAGTCGTGGTGGTCGTCCCGCAGGAAAACAACCGCCTGCTCGCAGTGTAGCAGGTCCGTGGCTTCACGCATTATCTTCTTCACCAGGTTCTCCAGACTGTATTGCTCTACGAAAATCCCTCGCGCTAGATTTAGAAGAATCTGAGAAAAGTTGCAACTTTATGAGGTAAGAAAGTTTTAATTTGTAGGTCATCAATCACCCACGGGCCACGGCCACTTCTCTTGTGAGAATGAACTATTGTAATTGAAGACAGCGTCTTCAGCGTGTTCTAAGTTTTGTTCTGCGGCAATGGCTCCCCGCCGAGTCCGATTTCATTTAATTTAAAAAAGAGCTTCTTTAGAAACGTTCTAAATAGGTGCAGGCTAGAAAGCAGCAGTGTCAGCGGTGCAGTCTTTCTCAAACATTTAACTCACCTGGTTCTTCTTAAATTCTGATATAGACAGGTCGAAAAGTTGGGCGTTCTGAAGTCCTATTCCACAAAACACCAAGTATTTCTGGAATATCTGGAAAGGAAGGAATTACATGAAAGAATGGTATTCTGATCAATTATAAACATGAACATTATCCATAATCTAGCCGCAGGTCTTGAACAATCTGTCAGCAGAAATGATTTCAACTTAATTTGCATTTATCTTTCCATGTGTACTCAGACATTCTTATTTCGACATATCGAACGACGAACAAACATATAAGTCCGATGGCTTTGTGATAAGTCACTCGGAATTCCTGGCACGCAGTAAACGTAGCGCACTAGCCTTCACGCCGGTAAAGTTTCCTGCCCAGTTTGGCAACAACAACGGAAAGTTTGTGCTTGACCAAACCACAAACTTTTGCATGTTGTTCCCATATTGAGCTGAGAAATTGGCTGATGATGGGCTCAGTCGCGCAAGCCATGTCTTTTTGTTATGATTTCCAAATTACTAATTGCATAGCCTTCGAGGCCCTTCATCCTCGACTTCGTCGGACGTCGAGATAAGAATACCCACCAAGCAGTAAACCGAAGCTGCATTTCCCACTAAATTATCTCTGCACTAATTGTAGCAAATTCAGTATCAAGCGATGAGATAAGAGGTCGGCTCCCCACCTGCACGTCGGCCTCGGTGAAGGCCGAGCACTCGGCTCCTTGCTTGTTGATGATTTGCGCCACCCCGATCACCTCGTCAGCATGGTTGCAGATGGGCATACAGAGCAGCGAGCCCGTCTTGTAGCCGGTCATCTCGTCCACCTCGGGGCTGAAGTGCGGGTCCTGGGGGGGGGGGGGTTGCGGGGAGATATGTACTGGGGGTCGTGAGGAGTAGTGGAGGACACCAAGGGGCGTTGTCACCATTCATACATATAGGGACTGAAGCTTGAGTTTTGTGGAACGCATAGGGGGCAGGTCTCCTGGGGTACACGGTCATCGTATGTACACACGAGTACATACATACAATGATTGTCTGAGGAATATGTACTGTAATACGGTGGAACACCGATGTCGATACTGTGTCGATTTTTTTTTTTACAAAACGGTTTTTGCGGCGCAAAAGAGTTAGCATAGTGGGGTTACCTCGGATAGTAAATTCCCCTATTTCGCGAGCCCTACGTAGGAGCCCTAAAATGCATATATACAAAGCCTATTGTGCTTGCAATGAGTAATAAATTTATCAGACGAAGATCAGCGGCACGCTCGTGTCAAGTACCTAAGTATCAATCAGCCACCGTGATAACTGACCAGATAAGCATCAGCCAGGTTGACGATCTCCTTTGTTTGCGCCACGTAGCCGGCAATGCCCAGTCCGAACGGAATTCGGATCTCTCCGGCTGCCTTCAACTGCATATTTCCTGCCGAAAAAAAACGACAGAAAACGATGATTAAAAAATACCGCAACACCAATGACAAATGGTGACAAGTGGTTAAAACTTAATTAAAAGGCGCAACACAAAAACACAATATCATCCAGTTTCGATTTTTATTTCATCTCCTACCGCGACCAAATATGTACGCATATAATTTTGAAATATGATCAATATGCAGTTTCAATTACGTTGCTTCGTTCACCAGGCTACAGCGGAAATCCGGTGTGAATTCGACCAGTGAGAAAACAAGAAACACCGGCAGACTGGCTGTCTGCCGTCACCTGCAGGTGACGTTCGGTCGCTTAGCGGAACAGGGGACGGTTGGGCTTCCAAATTAAAACAAGAAGGTTCGGTTGCTGTTTTTCACTGGCGGTCGCAGCCGCTAGTAAAAGGGGGGGGGGGGGGCAAACTCACACTCGCGGGACATAACATTTATCCGTCACCGGAGGGGGGGGGGGGTGATCGGCTAATTTTTACGTCCAAGAGGCGCCGCGCAGTCGGCACTAATTATGCTTCATCCATGCCATTCTTGCGTGGAATCTTTAAGCACAATTTAAGGCAAAATCACCAGTTCCATTTCCCGTCCCACGGTGTTTCCACCGGTCGGGCCACTGCACCATGGCGACGGATCGGTGTAGCATATACATGGGTGACTGGACGAATGATCACATTCAATTTATCAATGTAATTACCACCCATATGTTTGGCAGTGGTCATCGGGACTTCGAATGCCTTGTCCTTCACCTGCCCAACTGTGCCGCAAACCCAGCTGATCGGATCCCTCTATCCCTAATCCGAGCAGTGAAGAAGCATCTCGTGCATCATGGTCTATACAATGAACAGAATCATCAAGCCTCTAAATTAAAAAGCATCTTCCATCAGATGTATTTGTATGCAAGGTGGATCTACATCTCTCCCAGGTGGACGTCATCTCAAGATCCCTATCAGGTGGATCACATCTCCCTCAGGCGGATCTTGAGATCTCTATCAGGATCTCATCACTATCTGGATCCCTCCCTATAGCTATCTCAGGATCTCTTCAACGACTCTCAGGTTCCCCTGTATCACCAGCTCTACTACCGACAGCATTACAGCAGCAAATAGCTCTGTTCTTCTACAACCAGCTGAACGACCGTGGACCGCTGTTTGCTGAACCGCAAGATGCAGCTTGTTTTATTCCTTCTTTCTTCTTTTCTCTAAATCCCCTCGCTACAAATGGCTGGCATGAGACCCTCTTCGGCAGTGGCGGGTGGACCCTGCCAAATGAGCGTGGCTCTACGACACTAAAGAAAGACCTCATGGGTTGGTGCGGTGCACCTCAGAAGCCCGGTGGTGACGTCGCATGCCGGCTTGGTTTCTTAAAGGTAGTGTGCCAGCTTTCTTGGACCATATGGAGTTAATGACCCGGATAAGGAGAACCGGATTTTTAGAACTTATCCATACCTTCAAAACTTATGGAAACGTCTTAAATTCTTCAAATTTTGAGTACCCCAGTGCGAAATTCGCCCCGACGGGTTGTCGGTCGTACCCCAACCACATTTCACACCACTATGAACAATAAATGCACACACTAAAATCGCTATTACCGATAGGCTCATCCAATCAAGTTTCGATAAACCCGTTCATCATCATCTCCTGCGGTTTCGAACACGCCTGTTAGGTGGCTTCTGATGCTCGTCGAGGTCGGAATTTCCAAATACGCGTGGTGCGTCGGGCCGCGCGCTCTGACTTCGGCCAAGAAAAATGCGTCAGCTGATCATTGTCATTTCTGCCACTTGCGAGTGGTGTAATGGGGTCATAACTTAAGAGACGGCTGTTTCATATCAATTATTTTACATAAAATCATATTTCAAACCACAAATTAATGTTCGACAGCCAAATTTAAGAAACAATACCAATACAGGCTTACAGTACTCGAACAACAATACCAATACAGGCTCGACATTGTGTTGTCTACGATTAGACAGCTGATAACTCATTCCCGTACGTCGTATGGTCGTAACACTATAATGACCTTTGCTTATTGTCACAAGTGCGCCGCATTCGCGATTGTTGCCCGACGCCTGTTTGCAGGTGAGCCCACTACAGTTGTTATACATATCTAAAAACCGATAAACTTTTAGGCGAAAAAGGCACTATTCCAGGCCCATTTTTGATTTTTTTGCGATATTAGGTAAAAACAGAAGCTTCTTATCCTAGGAAAAATAAAACGGGAAATCTTTCAAAGGTGGCACACTACCTTTAAGGATTAGCGTGGGACCTCCGGGGCTTGCATAGAGTTTGCATGAGCTAGTATGCAATCTCAGAGGCCTGTGTGTAATGTGTACACAGTGGCGGTCGCGTGGGGGGGGGGGGCGCATCAGGGCCATGCCCCCCCCCCAAAGGCCAATAAAGGGGGCCATCATATCATTTGCCCCCCCCCCTCAAACAACCGATGGGCCTCCATAGGTGTATGGGGCCCTGGCCCTTATTCGATCGTCACGAGGCTAAAAAAAAAAAACACTCCAAGCTATTAGAGGGACTATCCCACCTTTAACATGGGGTTTGAGTTGAGATAGCCAAGTTAGCGGCGAGGTTCAGAAACCACTATCTATCTAGGTTGCAACCCCCGCGGCCTCTTGGTGTTGAAGAAATTCGTTCCCTTCATTTGAAAATGGGCCTTGTACAAGGCCCTATCTTCAACATGGAGCGACCGTTAGTGTGACGTCACCTCGTTTAGTCATTCTGATTTAAATGGGTTTGTTCGTTGAAAAATCGCTTAAAACTTGGTCTGAACTTTGTTGTGGTGCCTACAGAGTAAAAAGAATCAGCTTTATGACAGTAATGTGGCCTGGGGAAGGGGGTAATTTTGGGCTGTCAACGTCACATATTTGAAAGTTTGTGTTTGGAATATGGGAAACCTAAGATGTTTAATGAAAAATAAATGCCAGAACCGTGTTCCTGGTCATCCAATCTATAAAGTCGGGCACAATTTAACTGGTTTTAACAACATTTTAGAAGGTGGGATAGTCCCTTTAATATAGCTCCCACACCGGTCTTTGAGCGTCCTACACTGACCTCTGAGAGAACTTCAGTGGCGGTCAAGCGCCCACGTTGGCCACTAAGAGCCCACATCAACCTCTTGGCTCTTAACCCGCGCGGGGCTGGGGTCTCCAGCCGAACGCGCGGGGCTGGTGGGGGGGGGGGGGTAAATTTTACCCCCCCTCCCTGTTATCTCCCGAACTAATGGTCTGATTTGGAAAATTCAAACGCCAATCGAAAGCTCTCATCACGAACTACTAAAAACATGTACTTAATTTAAAGTTTGAGGTCAAGGTCAAGGTCAGGTCAAGGGTACAAATTGTAAGTTTCTACAGTATCGGCCTTGCACCGTAGTTGCCGAAGAATGGAGTCATGGACTGAGACTGATCGCCCAAAACGTGTTCTTAGGCTACCAAGACAATATTCGTTGCATACAATATCATTCAGAGGTCAAGGTCAAGGTCATGTCAGGTCAGGTCAGGTCACCAAAAAACAAAATATAGAAAAGGGCATGTGCGACACATGTTTTGTGGGTCATTTTACTCATAGAATTCAATAGGCACACTCAATAAGTGATATGAACCACCTCTGGATGAATTTCAGGTCGAGGTCAGGTCAAGGTCAGGTCAAGTGAGGTCAAATTTTGAAGTTGGTTGTTAAGGCCTAAAAAGGTGTCTATCTGATGCAGTTTTTCACGGCGAATCGAATGGTGCTATTTTTGTTTCCGTACGAGGTCTAGAACTTCCAAAAAAGTCATTTTTCAAAAAAATTGTGCGTCGTGACGTCATAAAATTTTGAATAACTCCCACATTTTTGAACCGATTCTTCTAAAATTTGGTATGTAGGTGCACATAGACCACTTCTCTGACATATATTCCTGTTTTTTCGATAGACTCAAAATTTTGGATTTTATAATGATTTTCCCAAAAAAGTCAGTTTTTTGAAAAAATTTAGGCCAAAATCCAAAATTTTCAAAAAATCGAGATAGCCATTTGATAGACAAAGTAAAATTACGTATAACCTTTTTGTTACGTCTTGATTCCTTTAAAATGAAGATGTTAGCGGCGTTTGAACTTTTGCCGTTTTGAGGCGAAAATGGCGAACATGACGTCACTAAAACGTCAATTTCTCAACAATTTTCCGACGGATTTCGTTCAAATTTTCAGGGAACGTGTCAAATTGATGTAAGAAAAGGTACTGAAAGTTTGGCGGCGCTGCGCGCCGCCGTTTTTGAGATATCGCAAAAATTCGCGAGGGGGGGGGGGGGGTAAAATTTACCCCCCCCAGCCCCGCGCGGGTTAAGCCCCACATCTGGCCTATGAGGGCCCCTAACCGGCCTCAGGGGCCCCAATCGGCATCTGAGCGTCTCACACCGGTCTCTGGTGGCCTTATTTCTGTCTCTAGTGTCCTAAGACGAACCTTTAGGTGCCAATGAGGGCCCCGCACTGGCTGCTAAAGACCCGATGCCGGCCTCTAAGGGCCTGCATTGGCCTCTGAGGAGGGCCATCTTGGTCTTTAAGGGCCCTCTGCTGGCCTCTGGGGTCCAACGACGGCTCATGCCGGTCTTTTAGAGCCCCACGCTGACATCTGAGGACCCCATGTTGGCCTGTAATGAGTAAGGACCCACATTAGCCTCTGGGAGCCCAAGTCGGTCTCTGATGGTCTCAAACTACTGGCCTTTGCAGTTTGCAGGCCCTGTACTGGTCTCTGAGGGCCCTAATCTGGCCTCTAAGTGAAAACATACATGGGTGGGCTTCTGAAGATCAGAGGGCTTACGCAGACTCCTGTACAGCCTTACGTTGGTCCTGATCGAGATCAATTTACGTCCTGATGGTCCCGCGTAGATTCCCTCATATTTCGACATCGGGACCCCATGAGCCGTTGTGGGTCTTGGGGCTGGCAGAGACTGATGAAATCCTCAGGGCTCAGGGCCAGTCTTTTCAGCATGAGGACTAGGCAGGTTG